CTGGGAGTATGACCATTTTTGCTATGTTGGCTCTTCCTATCCTTGAGCAAGGGATATCTTTCCATTTTCTGAAATCCTTTGGATCTCTTTTTTCAGAGTACTGTAGTGTCAATGTAGAGATCTTTTTCTTTCTTTGTTAGATTGACTCCTAAGTACTTCATTTTTTTTTTCAATGCTTTTGTGAAAGGTATGGTTTCACGAATTTCTCTTTCAGTGAGTTTGTTATTCAGGTATAGGAATACTACTGATTTTCAAGTACTGACTTTGTATCCAGCTATGTAACTTAATCTAGTTATTAAATCTAGAATTATTTTGGTGGAATAATGGAGGAGTCTTCTATGTAGAGTATCACTTCATGTGCAAGTAAAGATAATTTAACTTCTTCCTTTCCTATCTTTTTTTGAGGGGAGAGTAGCTCAGCCCATCATGAGGGTGGGGCTGGCATGGCATGTGGTGCTGGGGATTAAACCAAAGTCCCCTGAACTTGCCTAAGCTTGCCTAAGCAGGCGCTTTAAACCACTGAGCTATCTCGCCGGCCCTTTCCTTTCCTATCTTTATTCCTTTTATACTACAAAGTTACTATGATAAAATCAGCATGGTACTGGAAGAAAAAGCAGACCTGAGGATCAATAGAACAGATTAGAAGATGAAGAAACAACTTCAAACAGTAAGCCATCCTAATCTTTTTTTTTTTTTCAGCACACCCTGCCCTGAGGGTGGGGTTGGTACAGCATGTGGTGCCGGAAATCAAACCATGGTCCCCTGCACCTGCTTAAGCTTGCCTATGCAGGCACTTTAGACCACTGAGCTACATCACCAGCCCAGCCATCTTAATCTTTGACAAAGTGGCCAAACACATTCACTGGAAGAAGGATAATGTCTTAAATAAAAGGTACAGAAAAATCTGGCTTTCTACATGCTGAAAACTACAACTAGATCCATGTCAATCACCATGCACTAAACTAAATTCAAGATAGATGTAAGATCTAAATATTATAACAAACATTAAATCTGCTGGAAGAGAAAATAGGTTAGACAGGATAGTAGAACTCCTGAAGACATAGGTATAGGCAAAGACTTTCTAAACAAAACCTCAACTGCATGGGAAATACTACAAAGAACCAATAATGTATTAAAAATCTTTTCCACAGCAAATTATTAAAAGGTCTTTCCACACACAAAAAAGAAAACCACCAACAGAGTAAAAAGACAACCCATAAAGTGGAAAAATATCATAGCGATTCATTCTTCAGACAAAGGCTAATATCTACAACATATAAAGAATTTAAAAAGTCAGACACCCCAGATTTAAAGACCTAATCCCAAAATGGGCATCTGAAATGAAAACACACTTCTCAGAAGAAAAAGTGCAAATGGTAAGGAAATGCACCATGAGATGTTCAATATCGTTGGTAAGTCAAGAGATGCAAGTTAAAAGAATGCTGAGATTCCATCTTGCTCCAAGAATGGTTATTATCAACAAATCAACCAGTAACAAACGCTGGCAGGGTTGTGGGGAAAAAGAAACACTTCTCCACTTTTGGTGGGAGTGTAGACTGGTGCAATCACTGTGGAGATTCCTCAAAAAACTAGGATTGGAAGTCCCATTTGACTCACCTTCTTCCCAGAAGAATTAAAAATATCATGCCACAGTGATATATATGTACTCATGTTTGTAGCAGCACAGTTTGTAATAGCTAAATCTTAAAAACAACCCAAATGCCCATCAGTCCATGAATGGCTAAAAAAAGATGTGCTATTTTATATGATGGAGTACCACTCAACCATAAAGAAGGATAAACTTCAGGCATAGCTAAATGGATAGAGTTTGAGAGTATATTCTTAAGTGAAATAAATCTGATATTTATGTGATGTGTAAATATCACATCTTCTCACTGTGGTAAATTGAAAGTGTAAATAAGATTCAAAACATATAATAGATACTGTGAAATAGCAAGTAATCTTTCAAAGAGAAAGGAAATGGAGGTGGTGTATGGAAAAATTAAATAATAAGAAAAAAGGATAAAATGGAAACAAACCTTTGTAAATAAGGAGAAGAGGAATTAAATGGAGGGGAGGGGAAACAAGGTGGAGCTAACACATCATGTCGGGCACAAATGCCCTACAGTGAATCCGATAGTTATGCAGATCTAAGTTGTATCAATAAATTGAATTTTTTTGTCAGTACCAGGGTGAATTATTTAAACAATTTAAAAATAAACAAAGTGACACCCTGCTCTTTAAATTTGGCACAACTCAGTCCTGTCATTTGAAACTTGGTATGTCTCTATCTACTTTGATTAAATAAGAATTTTGTTATTGTATGAATAGGATATGTCTGTATATTGAGTAATAAGCCTGCTTGTGGCTGTTAACAGTTTCCTAATTTGCTGTTTTGTTTTGTTTTGTTTTGTTTTTTGGTTTGTCTTTTTTTGGTACCAAGGATCAAACTCAGGACCTGTGAGCTTGCCAGGCAGACATTTATGCCGCTGAGTCATCTCCCCAGCCCCAGTTTCCTAAACTTGTAGAGGATCTTTGGACTCTATTGTGCTGTATAAACTTAATAAGGGAATATAAATTTTATTTGAAAT